TATCGTGTTCTGATATTTTCATGGGGTCTTTATTGTTCCCTGTGGTTTGGGTTAAACAAAATGGGTCCTTATGGAGAACAGGGCGAGTGCAGCTCCGTGAGTCGACCTGCTTTGTTCTGTGGGAGCCCATTGTTTGTGAGAAATGTCACATTGACTACATCAAGTTGCAGCTATGAGAAACAGACTGTCGAGATACAAGATGAAGATGGCAACTACTGAAGGCCAAAGAATTTTACTCAAATAGATAACATTTATTGAAGTTCCTATGTTATTAAAGAATTTTGCAATCCTTGATGTTAAGTCAAAGTGGGTTGCAGCTGTATATAGTTAATGGCTACAGACAGACAGTATACACTATCCTAAATGTGCACCTTAAAAACCAAAGATTTCTTTCTTTGCTTTGAATGGGCAAGTATGGGTTGCTTGAAAAACAGTTTTAATTCACAGTTATGAAGAGGCTTGTTGACTTTACAATACCCATAAAGTATTTCCTTGAATCCCTTTAAATTATATATATATTGTACAGAGATTGTTTAAACAGGCTATTTTGTGTATAGCAGAACTGCATTTTTTCATGTCAGAGTAATAAAAGAAAATGTCAAAGAGCAGCACGTTTAATTGGCATTGAATGAAAAGTTGGGTTTTTGTGGTGATTGAGGTCATTTTTAGAAACAATCAGCCAGTCTCTGCCTAAGTATCTGGCTTAATAATATAGACACTGGCTAATGTCCAGTTGGGCAGTGGTCCAAGTGTATTTCACATGGACAGAATCTCAAGTCTTTTGGGGAAGACTTTAGAGATCTGGCTCTGTGTCAGACTTTGAAGAGCAGCCGCACACAGTGGATGCATTTTTCTATTTCCAAATCAGCGTGAAGACAATGGGATGCACTGCTAACAAAGTTCAAGTGCAGTGTGGTCTCTGCCTATCCAACTGTTCCCAGAGTGATTTCATATAGACTTTGTATGTACAAGATCTAGTTGTCTTGGAGTGTGGTTTGAAACTTGAGAAGGGGCCATCTCTGTCTCCTTGGGGGGACTTTCAACACTGGCCCCAGTGAAGGACAAGCTCCATTCAGCAACACAGAGAAGTGTCACATGTGTTCACTTATTTGTGGTTTCCTATCTGTGTAGTATCAATCATGTAGGGCATGTGTGCAGTAACTCAAGGTCTCACAGCCTAAGAGTATTTTCATGTCTATGTTAATACAGGCAATACGTCTCAAGTCAGTGAAATAGTCATCTTTATGTGTAATAGAACAGACAGATCAAGGACTTTTATCCTGTAATGGACTTATATTGGACAACTCACCTTGACAACTGATTTTTTTTTTTTTGACAATCCAGATAGCATAGTCGAAAGTTATAGGAATTGGCTCTTAAATAGGACTGTGTCTCTGTGTAACATCTATTAATACATTTACTTTCTATCTCAATTATTGAAAAACAGTACATTCTTACTGTTGGCGGGACTCCTTTGCTCAGATCTCACCTCTAACTTGGCCTGGTCTCATCATCTGCTTGTTGCGATAGAGATGGGTAAACATGGCCAAAATTCTATGCACACTTTAAAACAGCAATCCCTTTAGTACCCAGGATGCATCTCTCTTCACTTGCTGGACTTGTGTGACATTTTCTGACCCTGTGTCTGGTATTTCAGGCCCTGCCAGAAGTGGCCAGCACCACTCATGTGCTGCCCTGTTTATTTCTATCAGTGTAAAGTCAGTTTCCCCTGATTAGTACTGGGACAGAGCTGCTCCCATGTCTCACTTCTGTGTGCACGCCCCAATCTCCGTCTCCTTGGAATATGCTGTTATTTCCATTATAACTGGGTTGATTCAGTCTTACATCAGGTTGTCACCACCTTGATTCAGTCTTGCTAACCCATTCCCTTAAAACAAAATGGACCCAGTGACCTGTGCTCATTCAAGGTGATGCTAACTCTTTTAGTGTTCAGCAGCTGAACTTGTCGACATGGCGACGGTTGCCTTTCATGTCTCAAATTAAGGTAGAACAGACCTGGCCCCTTGTGAACCGTATCCCATAATGCATTTTCCTGTTTCACTGCTAAATATATGCTGCTTGAGAGTTAGGGGTCCATATTAAGATCTACATAGTTACAGCTAGAAGAGATACAGCGATTTAGGCAGTTTCTTTCATGCTATATTGTAGATTTTGTGGTATTTATTTAAAAATCATTGTACTTGTATATTTTGGTACACTCAGTAATATATGGATAGTTGTAAAGTATACTTTACATTCTACAGTCCATGTTTATTTGTGTTATTGTATGGAGCACATTATACATAGTGGTAGTGGAGACTTTAATCAGAATAAATATGCTTTATTTCCATTTATTGAACATACAATAAGTTATAAGGTATTGCCATTACAATTTCATTTGCCCTTTTTAATAGAAAGCATTTTGTTCTGAGTGGAAAGTTTAAACAGGGGCATTAATATTTTTAAGAAAATAGAAATACAAAGTAGTAAACTAATACAGGAAGCTCATTTAGAGCATGTCTGTAGAAGCCTGAGTTAGTAAGTTTTATATATACAGTAACAAGATGTCTGCAGAGAAAATGTTTATTGTAGTTTTAATTTGTAATTTGTCACTGTTCAAATTGTGATTTTGAGTCAAGTGTCCTATATATACTGTATATTTTGCGGCCCTTATGCTAAAATAATGTGTAGTAATAAGATATTCTAAAATATATATTAGAATAACATAACTAGTAACAACACATATTCATTTATGTTTCATGGTTTTATAAATGGCTCATTCTTTTCCATTTCCTTTCCTGATGGGATGTCTCCGCTGTAGGGAAAAGCGGTGGAGTCTGTGGTTCTGTTTACGGGTGCTACAGGGGAAGTGCCGCCCACTCCGAAATATGGAGACTATTATTATAACTGCTGTGGTTGGCAATACAGGAGTGTTAAGTGGAATTGGCACCTGACATTTGAAGAGTTTGAGGTGTTTGATTAGAATAATTACTTCAGCGTAAACTTTAAACTGGAAGTAGTGCTGCAGCTGTTTTGGCTGATTTCAAAGGTTTATTTATTGGCAACACTTTCCAGGAAAATTAGTCATAATCTTGGGCAATATCATAACAATGCTACTTCATTTAAATATTTTTGTAAAAAATGAAAAATTATAAATGTATGTTTTGTGTTGTGCAGATGAAAGCACTAAACATATAAGCCAAAGGTAAAGCAGCATGACTGGACTTAAAAAAAAAATAAAAAATACAACCTACAGTCAGGAAATGATTAGGGTACTACAATAACTCCAATTATGACAATAGGGAAAACCTGTCCACAGCCAAAAGCACTTAACATCAGGAATAGTGCCCAGTATGGGTCCTATTTCTTTACCACAGCAGTTCGGTGCGGGCGGATGGGCAACAGGGCACACTGCATGGGGCAGGAAAGGTGTTTTTATTGTAAGGATTTAGGATGTAATGAATGTATGTTTTGGATATTTTAACCTATAACTATCGTTGTTGAACTTACAATAATAGCTCCTTCAAAAAAAAAGGTTTTATTGGATTTAAATGAATAGCTTGCACTCAAAATGAAATATATAGTGCTGTCTTTCTGAAAATGTAACTTTAATGAACAATATAAACTATCAGATACCAGATGCCCTTCCTTAATCTCTGGGTTATGACTGTTACAAGAATGCACCTTCAAAAATAGCTTTTGTTCTTTGCCTCATTATTTATTCATCATGACTAAAGCTGTGTTGATGGTTGATTTATGTGTAGCGTGTTTTTCATTAAGACGTTGTGAATTGATGTTGTGACCTAACCGGATGTGTCTCATGTGGTACACGATAACTAGATTCAACAAGTGATTCATTCTGTGAAATACTACCATTGATTCCAGACCAGTTGCTCCCAATCTTTTTCCTCCCAGTTACAGTGGTGGTCCGTGAATAAGATCAAACTTTTCATTGTCCGCCTCTTCTGTCTCCTCTACAGTCCTCCAGATATTTATCATTACAGTTCTTGACAGATCCAAAACCTTTTACCCCAAAATGTCCCAATATGGTGTTACAGGCTTTGTCAGTTGGACTGGAAACTGTTGGAAACCAAAGTTTAAGTCGTAAAGTTCGTTCTGACCATGTGAAATTGCGTTGTTAACACTTGTCAGGGTCGCTTGTTCTTTCAAAATGTGTACAGCTGTTGGTGCCTCTACTGTACTGTCATTAGTTTAGCTGGTCATGGTTTTGACTTAGTTTAGACCTGGTGTTTCTGGCATGGTCAAGTCCTGGTTTGGTTCTGTTGTAGTCTAGGTAAATTGGTCTGACAGTTGTTTTTATCTGGTTCTGGTTCACAGTTTATTTGATCAATAGTGTTTATCTTGGTCCATATTCCAGTTAAACCTAGTTTAATCCATCTTGAATCCTTATTTATATATACAGTTTTCTGCCCCAAAGGCTTTATTTGACTGACAGGAATAACATGAGTTGATGAGGAGTCAGAAGGTAGAGACATTCAGTAAATGATTGAAAACCTAGTATAATCCTTCTTTATTCTTAAGACTAAAGCCTTAAGACTTGCTGCCTATTTTTCAGTGTTGTCTTTTTTGTAAGTTTATAATAATACAAGAAACAAAGTCTAATTTTGTTATGCCTATACTGTATAGTCCATTTTATTTTACTATGGAGGCCTATTTTAGACTTTGGGGGGCCACCACAGTCTCCTCTATTAATGCAAAAACTGCATATATGTTTTCTTTTAATCCCTCTCTTACTTAAAACCTGGGCGAGTCCAATGACTAATTTTAATCTGTTAGTATTTGGGACATGTAATATTTTGTAAGCTGTGTTTTCAGAGCCACTGCTATAAAGTTAGTGGTACCATTCTTGTTGCCAGCGTACACAGTTTAAAAGCCAGACAATACACCACCACCGCGCCACGCATACTAGCTCTGCGCTCATCCCTGCTTGGCGCTAATTTACAGTGGGATTTATCGGTCTCGTCTGTTTGTTTTCACAGGACCTCCGGGAAAACGAGGACGCATCGGGCGAAGAGGGGAGCCTGGTAAGCCACGCCCCCAAATCACTGTGTTTATTTATGCTGTTTTTGCTGTATCCATCTCTCCTCACCCACTCACACTTGTTGGTGAAGTCAATGACCTCTTTCTACATCCTCTTCTGTTCTGGTCTTGGGTTGTCAGTTTATTGCAAAAAGTCAAGTTTGATTTCTGAATTTTACACAGAAAAAAACTAGGGCTGGGCAAAAATGTTAAAAAAATTTATCGCGATTAATCGCATGAGTTCGAGCAATTAATCGCGATTAATCGCATGTTATACGCAAAACCAATTAATGAATTAAAAAGTAGAGTATAGCGCTCTTTTATTGGAAATGTAAATGAAAGAGCCATACATTTGTTGTGCAAACAGCATTTCTTTCACAGGGGAACCTCAGAGCCTTCAAGGTATTCAGGGAAGGCTCAAGAAAAAATATTGAATGGACGTTTGTACTACTAATATATTTATTGAATATTTTTTATGCTGTGAGTAATGAACACTACACTAGTAATAATTTCTAGATCAGTGTTGTAAACTTGGACTGATATTTCTTAGGAAACAAAGGGTTAATATAATGGAATGGAAATGGACCAATCACATGTTTCAATGACCAATCCAATGGTATCTGGGTAAATCAGTTACTCCAGCACTGAACTAAAGAAATAAGCTCAGCTCAGAGCCGGTGCCCGCGGCCGACCCGCGGCTGAGTGGCGGCTGAGTCCGCGCCGGACCCGCGCTGAGTCCGCGGCGGACCCGCGGCTGAGTGCCCGCGGCTGACCCGCGGCTGAGTCCGCGGCCGGACCGCGGCTGAGTCCGCGCCGGAGTCGGAGCCCCGACCAAAGCCCACGGCGGAGTCAGAGCCCGCGGCCGAACCCGCGGCTCGCGGAGGATCGGGCACGTTGCATCTCACGTGGTCAGAAAAAAGTGAAAAAAGTGTAAAGAAAAGACGTGAAACTTAAAGAAACGCTCGCGGTGGACTTTTCCAAAATAAAAGCCAGTGAGAAACAGACGTTTACAATAAAATAATAAATAATAAATAAATAATAAAAACTGCGTTAACGGCGTAAAAATAATTGTCGGCGTTAATGACTTAATTAGTTAACGCAAAGTTAACGCGTTAACGTGCCCGGCCCTAAAAAAAACCCCAAAACAAATTAAAAAACAATTGAAAAATTTACAGTGTTCAAACCACTACTACTACCACTAAAAACACAGACACAAACAATGACTTCCAACCTTTTAAATTCTGCTCCTGGTTTCCACTCTTTGGAAAGCTCATCATAAAAGCTCCACAAATGCCCAAAGTATCCACATGAAAATTTACCAAAGTGAGTAGATGACCTCTTAGCAGATCAGGTAGGCCCTTCTCCCCCACCCCATCCCCATCCTAGCCGACATCGCGCTAACCTTGGCCATGTGGTTGCGCTAACTTAGCCCAGATGTGCGCAGCTCTTTGGCTGAGCGGTAGCAGCTGCAGGACTACACAGCTAATGAGATTCTCCCGTGCCAGAATTGCTACCCAAAGACATTGTGTTGGTTTTCTGGTCATCGAAAACCACTAAACAAATCCTTGTAGATTCATATAAGGCTTGTTAGACAAAATGATAGTTAGTGTGGTACAACTTTGAGTCATCGCAAATGTGTTTTTCATTTTGACATTTTTAATCTGGTGCTGCAGAATCAGATCAGTGTTCACTATCAGTCGCAGCAGGATATGTCTCATGTGGGAAGAGCTACTATAGACAGTGAATCATTACTGCGGATGACTAAATAAGCCTGACTAAAGCTTGGGTCACTACTGTGTTTTATAGTTGTGTTAAATTTAGCTGGTGATGTTCAACAATTGTTTCCCTCATTCCTGCTTTTTGAGATGTGTTGCTGTAATGTTTATTTAGATGCTTTTATTTTAGAATTACATGGTGTTAAAAGGTGCAATGTGTAAATTTTCTGGTGGAAGTATGACAATATAACATTTAACTGGTCAGATTTGTGGATCTGTGTCCCCCACTCACAGTATTAATAGAAACACCTGAAATGGTTTTGATACGTTTACCTGATAATCATTTTACAGTGTCCCAACATTTTTTTTTTTTAATGGGGTGTCTGTTTAATGGTTGGATAATATAAGAAGTATGTCTAACTCACCTTACATGAAACACAGAGGAGCGATTTACGCCTCACTCTATGAATCAGTCAAGAGGTGTGTTATGCAAATATAGGTGAAACAAAAAAATCTGCTGAAAGTAAAATTTTATTATGTTGTAAGTCTTTGGAGAAACCTATCCCACGGCTGTTGTTTAAAACCAAGACATTCCTGGTTTAAAGGGGAAGTGTGTTTGTGTGTGTTTGTGAGTGTTTGCCAGACTGTTGCCAGACGACTGTGAGTGCCACTGAGAAACTCCTTGAGATTTTCTGTAATCGTCAACAAAATTAAAGAAACACTTAAAAGCATATGCCCAGCACTGTTAATAACTTCCTTTTGAAGATACAGTCAGTTACAACTAGTCAGGCTGTCATGCCCAATGAGCCTAAATGAGCTTTTAACCATGTTCCAATTTGTCCGCCTTCTTATTTACCCACTCAGACTTTAATTCTGAGTGATTCATGCAATGAATCATGAATAATCTTTATAGTTTATATTGCAGACGATCTGCCCCCATTTTCACCTCCACCATGCATGCTCACGGCTCTGCATCTAATTCTGATCTTTTACTTTATCCACTTCTGATCTTTAATTTGGCCTTTCTTCATGGCCTTGTCCCTCACTACTGCATACTCAGCATCCTTCAGTGTCCATGGATTTCAAGTGCTGTAAAATTGAAACCACTGCCTTCAAAATGTATCTTTTTTTATCTCTAAAAATCCTCAAAAATTATGAGAAAACATTATGTGACTGAAACCCTTGATTATTCACTCTAATTTACGTACAAGGCCAAGCCATCTCAGTGAGTCCCAAAAATGTGAATCAGTTGCTCTTATGTACTCATTTCTTAATCTATTCATGTTGCTCCCAAAGAGACAACTTCCAAATTCAGCCCCAACCACAGCTCTTAACCACCACAAACCTGCCAACCACCAGTAGAAGTTCTCTCTTAATTTTACCCATTCCCTGAGTAGTAAAGTCATTAGGGTTGTTTGCACCAGTCACTTCTGGAGGATTACTTTAGTCTATAACCTATCATTTTAGGTTCATTTTACACCAGTATGGCTTATATTTGAAAGGCTGTTTTGATTGTGTTTACTATTTAGAAACTCATCTTGTTTAACTTCGCATTCTCACATTGCAGCATGGTTTATGCTGAAGAATCTTTGGACTGTTGCTCAATGATGTCCTTGTTTGAGACCGAAGAGGGAATCTCAATATACAAACAAATACTGGGGACAAGCAAGTTTCAACAGTTTTACAAGTTACCACTGCCTTTAAAGGTGCACTATGTAACTTTTCTGATGGCTGTTATTTCTTTGCGTCCACTGTTCCACAGTATCTACTTCCATGGATGTGTTGGATCTGTAGAGAGGTGACTCCACTTAGGGGTGGGCGATATATCGATATTTTAAATATATCGAGATAGTTTTTAAACTCGATATGAATTCTGACATATCGTATATATCGATATAATGCTTATATTCAATTCTGATTTCCCCGCTTCGCTTGTTTGTCTTCTCTCTCGTCGCCTCCGCGCGCCCCCGCCTCCCTGATTTTGTTCGCTCGTGTCTCCTTCACTTCTCACTACCGCCGTGAACGCCGAAAGTTGGTGCCAGTGAAAAGCTTCAAGCACCACGAACCTTTTCCACCATTTACAGACAAGAACATCAGCAGCACATCTCATATTCCACCGAGTCGCGTCCTTTAGCCCGAAAGAATGCTAAACGAGCTGAGCTGCAGGAGAAGTGCGCTGTTTATGCAAATGAGCCATGCGCTTAAGTTTCGTTTCTGTAAAATGTAAACACACCTGCGCAAAACTGCATTAAACACATTATTATCGCAAACGGGCTGATGTGGCTCTATAGTCGTTATGCTTTATATGTTGTAAAGTTTAGTCATGTAAAGTTTATTTATGCAGAATATTTTTATTCATAATCTGCTTCAGTGTAACTTGTACAATAGTGTTTGGAAACGTTGGGTTTGATCTGCAGTGGATTGTGGGAAACCTCAGAGCTCCTTACTGCTGGATAAGAACATGGATCTATTGAAATAAGGAACATCCTGAGCTTCTTCTGGTAAATGAGCTCATGGTTATGGGATGGTTAACAGAGTTAATGCAACGATGAGCTTGTGTTGAGTTGTTTTATTTATGAATGAAAAGAAGGAAATATGTATTATTTCTTTTATTTTACAGTTAAATTATTATTTATGTAATTAGGGTTTTTGTAATCTTAAGTGTTCCTATGGAATTGGCAGATTTGTTTTTGCAGTTTTCAGTTTTAGGGGGTTATTTTTTCTTGAACATATATCGAGATATATATCGTATATCGAGATATAGCAAAATATATCGAGATATATTTTTTGATCCATATCGCCCAGCCCTAACTCCACTCACAAGGCATGTTTTTCAAGGTATTTGTTAAATAAAAAATACACTTTGAATAATAATTGAATAAATGCAAATTAGATATGCTAATTCTATTGTAGAATATTCCAGGCAAAGCAATATGTCCATGGTAGCAAAAAAGTCACATAGTGCACCTTTAACAATTTGTAATGTTTGAAGAATAAAATACAAAAATACTATGACTTTGTATAAAATAACTTGCGGTGTGTGTCAGCATTTTACAATACCCCCAAAGAGTAAAAATATTGACATGCTTCCTAAGCCAGCTCTTAAAGTAACAGCTATGCACATTTTCTGTTTGGCCTATTCAGTAAATTTATTCTTATTTACCCCTGTCTCAAAGCCAAACCAAGTTCAATGGCAGCTATGGGCCCCCTGCAGTTTGTATTGTTTGCTCTACTGTCTAGACATAGCCAAACTTGACAGACTAAACTTGATGGTCATGCCCAATAAACCACAACACTTTTGCCCCACGATATACACATTTGTCAGCGTCAAACTGCCCTGTTCTTGTATCACAGATTCTGGTCACGTTAGCAGACATTTGTGTGTGTGTTTTAATAGTAACTTAACACCACAAATATTCCTCTTTTCCCTGGAGGGAGTCTGTTTTCAATCTTGAAGTTTTGGGATTTTGTTCACTGAAATGGCAACGTGGTTTTAAGTGGAATAGACGGACCCATAATGAATGATCAGATAGCTAAAACTCAATCAGAGATTATCAAGAGTTTATTCGTGAGATAATAAGGCTTTGTAGTCTGATCTGTCTATCTATGTGTGGGCCATTTTATTAAGTAAGACAAACCAGATGTGCTGCTTTTTTTAAGTATACATAACAAAAACAAAAATTGACAAAAACAAAAAAAGAAAATACCTAAAACTACGCATACATGCACAAACTCTATGCAAACAAAACAGTCAGTCAAGTCCAGTCATGTCCATGTCCACTGGAAGTCCAGTTAATTTTCCCTTACAGAATGGAGAATCTTGTCAGATCTGCTGCTTTTGATTAAGAAAGACAATATGTGTTGCAAGTATAGAAACATTCTGATTTAACCACAAATAAACCACAAATCATATTTTTTTTTATTACTGATAATTGTGTTAAATCTATTATGCAAGGTTGCTTCTATTGAGTAACACTATGGATACAACTGGATTCAGACGTAGTACTGATGAACTTCAAAACTTTCACAGATTTTAAAGTTTAGAAGTAAAAGATCAAATGTTTTAAATTTGTTTTGGCCTACTTCTGACAAAAAACAGTCTTATTACTAACCTATACTTCTACAGTTCTACTACTACTCTTTGATTTGACTTCTAACTTGGCCTTTTGATGTAGATAAATTAAATGCCATATTGTAGAACATTCCAGGAAAAAACAAAAACAAAAACATCTACATGGATTTCAGCAGGTGGCGAACGCTCTACCGCAAAGTTACATAGTGCACCTTTAAACGTAGGTTATTATTTTCTGCTTCTGGAGTGACTCAATACTTCATAAACTAGTTTGATCAGAATTAAAAACAGTTGTGAGAGAATCTTTAGACACAGATGGACCATCGGAGCACTCTGACCTCCTCTTGGTTTCTTCTTAATGTAGTCCACACATCTTTAAAGGAGCGGTTTCATGTCCTAATCCGAAACACCCGTCTTTATCCAGGAGTCTGTTTATCACTCAGGGCTCTTCTAACGAGCTCGATCTGCCTCTTAATTACACTCATCACGGACCAGACCGCTGCACTTTCCTCTCACACCACTCCCCTCCCCATCTGACTGATACACTAACCAGAGGCATATTTAACTTGCGTTTCATGTCAAACTACTCTTTTCTGTTTCTCTTTTTATTGAGCAAGGGGCCAGTTCACTGCCAGTCTCATTTGGATTGCATACACGAATCAACAAATATATGTACACATATTACATTACAGAAAATTCTTGAATAAATGTTTTTCTTGAAGCATGATCATTTCTAGTCTTACTGTTCTTTTTTTTTTCATTTAATTTATTTATTCATTTTGAGCAGATTAATGAACGCAAATAGTATACATAAGTAGGGGTGTAACGATATCTAAGTCTCACGATATGCTATCATCCCGGTATGACCCTCCCGGTACAATATTTATTGCGATATCATGGGAAAGCTCATGATATGGTGGAGAGGCTCATGATTAGGGATGAAACAATATCCAAATCTCTTGGTATTATATTTTCATAATATACATCTCATGCTACGATATTTATTGTCGTATTTTTATTAATCCAAAGAACTAAGACTTAAAAGTGCTTAGAACTGTTATTTCTTCATGTAGTCTACACTAAAATGGAGCAAAGAATCATGGTCTATGTAGTTATCTCTGTCTTATTGCTGCACCATAACTCTTTATTTAAGCAGAGACTTATAATTTGATATAGTGTGATGGTCCACGATATTATTGTGAGAACTTTGACAATACGATATCACGATATTGCAGCTATTGTTACATGTATCTAAAACATTTAATCTACATTTCACATATATTTTTTTCTTATTTGAGCTTGAAAAAGAGTGGGGAGATGAAAATGTATTAAATTCCAATGTATTAAAATTAATGCTCCCAGATGGTCAGTGTTGCGGGGGACATTGTAATTTTTATTACTGTGTATTAGTACTTATTAGTAGAATGTTTGTAATGCAAGTATTATTTTAGCACTTTTGGTCTGATGCAGTGGACTGGGGAACAGCCCAAACCACTTATTTTGATCTCCCTGACATTTGTTGTATTCTGTAAAAATATTCCCTGTATCCTTGGACCCCAGATATTCAGAGAAAACAGATTAAGTATAGCGCCTAGTATTTATTTCCTGCAATTTATAAGTTAAAGGTCCCATATTGCGCAAAACTCTTGTGAGCTTTTAGTCATGTTAGAAAATCAGAAAGCTATCTACTCAAAAACATACCCAGAGAGTTGTGTTTTGTTTCATTTACATGTTTGAGTAATCCTCTGTCTACATCCCCATAGCGCAAAGTGCTCTGTTCCACCTTGTGATGTCATGAAGCACTAGTTTTCAAGTTAACAGCTACCTTTTAGCTTTAGTTCAATAGAGATTGGCAATTGTAAGTGAAGCACTTACTGTAACCACATGGCATGACAGGGTGGAGCAGAGTGTTTTCTGTTTGAGAGAAGAACAAAGGATTTTGTGTTAAACATGTAATAAATTAAACTAAATACGACTCCAGGTATGTATGTGATGAAGAAATAACTATTATGAGGAAATACTAATTATTGATAATAAAAAAATAAACTAATTGAATTCTACAGAAGAGTTTGATGGAAATAATCAAACTACATTGAAATTGTGCTAGTTTTTGTTTCATGTGGAAAGGGCCGCTATTTCCAGAGATATTTACCACAAACCAGGTCAAAATATCAGCATTTTGAAAGGCAAATTGTACTGCAGAGTTCTGACTTGCCTTACAGTTCAAATTTATGTCATGTGAACATGGCCTTGGTCTTTTGACATGCTTTTCTAACACTGTATTTTTTCCTTTGTGTTTCAGGGCCGCCTGTAAGTAGCGCATCTCCTCCATTTCCATCACTTCCAGGTTGTATCCGAATGAATTGTTACTGAGATGCTCTTTTGCACTGTAGCTTGAACACTTTGACACATGTAGAAGATTCAAAGAGCGTCTCGTCTGGTCGGCTATAAAACCAGATTCATTCACGCACACAAACCTGTCACACACAAAGCCTATGGACCACCACGCAGCAAATGGTTCCCCTGTGATGCTCTAACCTCTGCTAACACTCCCCATAAAACTAAATGTGAAGTAGTATTTTTGATATTGCGCACATAAACATGTAAACAATTGTCGCAACTGCCCTAATTACACCCGGATGCATTAGTAATTACGTGTTTTTGTTTTGAATTGAAATGAAATACAGTTGATGATTTTTTAATATAATGTTGGACACATGTGGCACAAATCAGATATGCAGAATTGGGCTAGAAAGTGCATGCCCCGGAAATATGTAGCTGGAATGGTGTTTATTAGCAAATGCATCCCAGCAGGTGGCTTTTTCCTAATTCACCATGAAACGATGCAGATAATCTTTTCATGAACAATACTAAACCTCTTCCCGGTGCTAAAAATTCAAAGCATATTTTGTCACTTGGAAATGCTAACCTCACTGTGGTCCTGTGAAGCAATGTGCAAGAAGATAGGCCAGCCACTAGGGGGTCTGAGTTAGTTAAGTGATATGTGTTAAGTGATAATGTGTGCTTTATGTGGTCACTCATCTAAACTGCATTGTGCTTTGATGTCTAACCTCACCAGGGCAAGAGTGGACGGGATGGATACCCGGTAAATGTCACTTGTTTTATTTACCCTATCCCTTTTCTCAGCCTATTCTCTATTAGAGCCGACTCTGACTTGATTTTCAAACCACATTTCCTTCTGTTTGTTTTGTCTGTTTACTGCCTTTAGACAATGGTCGTAGTAGACCACAAACTTACACAGATGTTGCCCATGAAAACCCACTAACACTCTGCAAAGGTATAAAAATTAGTAGACAAAACCTTAAAGGTACACTGTGTAACTTGTCTGCTGAAGGGTCTGTCACCTGCTTGTCTCCATGGAGATGTGCCTAGAATGTTCCACAATATGGCCAGAAACCTATGAATGAATCTCCATGGGGACTTGCAAGCGAAATTACAGTTTACAGCAACCTGTAGTTGAGTAAATAGAAGACAGATTTTAGTTTAATAGTTTAATACCATACTGTGGACAGTTTAAACCAAAGCATTAACATCTCCATTGAGACAAACAGGTTATGGACCCCTTCCAGAAAAGTTTCACAGTGCATTTTTATAGCTGCATGGGGTACCTGATTTTTAAACCGTGAAAGGAGGAAGTAGATATCAAACATATCCCTATCTCTCACAAATCTTTTGGCACATTGCTATATTCACATGCTTAGTATTTGTCCATAGCACAGCTTTAGAACAGTTTTTTTTTCTGATGGAAAAGTGAAGGAAGGACAACAGCTCTCGTCCCAAAGTGTGATGTGCGTGGTACATATGTGTGTGTGTGTGTATTATACACACACACACACACAACACACATAATTTTTTGTTAGACTTTTCTGTCCCTTTGTCTTTATAGCAATGGGACAATGTAAGTGATCATAGTGCTGGTGGATAGCTCTTACGCTGATCTTCGTCTGAGATAATTTGTTTTCTGGTGATAAAGTAAAACTGTGGCACTAAAGGAAATTTAGGCCTTGCACATTCCCCCAAAAGACTGTTTGATAATTGAATATTAAATAGACGTTGCATTTAAGAGTGGCTTTCAGTGAGTCTTTCTGAGCAACTCCTCCAGCTGTTCCAAACCAGTTTTTTTACTCTGCCCATAATCTAAACACAAGCCACTCATAGAAGTCAGCGTAGTAACGTGAGTAAACATGAATCCAGGGCACCTTTTTCAAGATATAATCAGTCAGCATTAATACCAGGAGTGTGTGGGGATATTGAAAACACACTCAAATCATGCCCGTTAGCATTAAATTGACTTTAGTAATGTTTAAATAATATGCTGCAACTGTGCACATTCAAAACAGCTGAACTCAAAGCTGATCCTCCATTGTCCAGCAGCACTTTTGACAGGTGGCGGCCTCTTGTGGACGGTCGTAAATCATAATCATCAGATCACGTGAAGGATGGATGTGTGCTGTCTTTTTGTGGTTTAGATTCATCAAATACTCATCAGTAGCCATTAGAGTACCCTGTGTTTTTGTTAAGATAATAAACACTGAATCTTATAGGCAAGATGAACAACTGGTAGTTACACATAAGACTCCTGTGCATTTGACCCATCCTTCAATGCTGCTGGAGTAGCTATAGGCGTGGCCAGACTCAGGATTACTTTAGCTGCAGGATTGTAGCTACTGTGCATGTTTTGAGTTACAGCTAATGTTATTAACAATTTTATACATTTACTGGGATCATCCTGCTTCATGGTTATTGTATCAGTAGATTCAATATTATTGTCCATTGTGAAATTTTCATGACACCCTATGACCCTATGCCTCTGAGTCTCTTGTTACGCTGCACTAGTTAAGGGCCCTCTCACTGGGACTGTTGGGAAGTCTAGTTCCCAGGAGGAGGCTGAGTCCTAGGCTTAGTCCCATTTGGATCCCCAGTCTGCCTGGCACGGCACAGCCCTCCTGACGGGAAATGCCTGCTGCTAATTACACACAGGTGGAGCTCTGCGCACACTTCCAAATATGTCTGTGCATTTGTGAGTTTGTTTGTCTGTGACTTTATCCATCTTTGTCATTGTCATTGTTGGAAGTGGTCCTAATTACTCATTGGGACATCTGGTGAAATTTAACACAAATTTAACTGAGGTAGAGAGGGGTAATTGATTCAGTACTTGAAGTCTGATTATGTAACACATATGTGAGAACTTAAAGGGTCTCTACCTTTTCATGTAATAAAGTAAAATATTTTACCCCACTATAGATATATTGTAAAAACAGTTCTGCTGTGTGTGGTCTGCATTCAATTATTAAGCATTTTTATCCCCTCTGAATCAGGATGTAGCACTGTTAGCATCCTAGTTGCAGTGTTGGGAAGGTGACTTTTAAAATGTATTCCCCTACAGATTACAGATTACATACCCCAAAATGTAGTTTGTAACGTAATCCATTAAATTACTTAAAGTGAGTAACGTAATCTGAATACTTTGCTTCTCTTCAGCAAATCAAGTAATCCAAAGAAGAGGAAATCTTCACATAAGATGTTTTTTATGCTAAAAGACAATAAAAAGCCCAGACTTTACTTAACCAAATTAAAAATATTATTGATAGAAGACGAGGAGAAACAGTCCGCACGGCATGGTTTCGTCCTGTTAAATCCTGTTTTAGTCCTGTTTTAGATCTAGTTTAGACCTGGTTTAGATCTAGTTTAGACCTGGTTTAGATCTGGTTTAGACCTGGTTTTAGTCCTGGTTTAGATCTAGTTTAGACCTGGTTTCGATCTAGTTTAGACCTGGTTTTAGTCCTGGTTTAGACCTGGTTTTAATCCTGGTTTAGATCTAGTTCAGACCTGGTTTTAGTCCTGGTTTAGATCTGGTTTAGACCTGGTTTTAGCCCTGGTTTAGATCTAGTTTAGACCTGGTTTTAGTCCTGGTTTAGATCTAGTTTAGACCTTATTTTAGTCCTGGTTTAGATCTGGTTTAGACCTGGTTTTAGCCCTGGTTTAGATCTAGTTTAGACCTTGTTTTAGCCCTGGTTTAGATCTGGTTTAGACCTGGTTTTAGTCCTAGTTTAGATCTGGTTTAGACATGGTTTTAGTCCTGGTTTAGATCTGGGTTAGACCTAGTTTTAGTTCTGGGTTCAGTCCTGGTTCAATCCTGAATTATTCCTGGTTTAGACTTGGTTAAAAAAAAGAAAAAAAAAAAAAAAAGAAAGAGATATAGCCCAAAATGTGAAAATAGGAAAATACCGCCGTGTAGTCCATTTATTTCGACAAAGTAACTGTAATCCAATTACCACTCATGGAAACAGTAACTGTAACTGAATACAGTTACTCATAATTTGTACTCTGATTATGTAACTCCGGTACATGTAATCTGTTACTCCCCAACACTGCCTAGTTGTGACAGCAAAACTCTGCTTTGGTCTTATAAAGCAATCACAGTTAATAATTAGGATGCTAGGAATGCATTAGGAAATCAAAGAACAACTTTGGACCACTGCAAACTGTGTAAAATGAACTAGTAATGAACTATGTTTTTCATATTTAACAATAGAAATCACAGTAATAACCATCATGTACAGGTACATTTGGGAGATCTTAAAGTAATCAACATTTAGTATCAAATGCATGTGTATGAAGTTACAGAAAAACAACAGTAGATTAATCAAAGTGTCAGACAGCACATGTTCAGAGATGATCAGGTTTCGGCCGCTGAAAGTTTAAAAGCACTGGATGCCTGTTGAGTAGCTCTGTTTGTGTATCTATACCCATACGTGCAGATGGAGAAGACTGCAGTTTATGTTTGTCTGTGTAACAAAGGCCAGAGCTCTGTGTGAACCAGGAGGGCACATGAGTCAAACCAGCATCTGCAATGGTCAGCAGTCTGTGGCCCTTAAGTATTTTGGCATAAACCTGATGGTGAAGCAAAGCAGAGACAGCATACAATAGTATTATGTAACCATGATTGCAATTTTGTGTAATTATGGCCTTCACATAGATCACAAACATGTTCTCCTATTTAAATGTATTCAATTGGGCTTTTTAACCCATCAGCTGCTCCACTGAACAAGTGTTTTTGGCAGATATTTATGCCAGATGCCCTTTCTTTTGTAACCAGCCTCAAAAACTTTGACTGGAGTGGCCAGTTGGGGAGTGTCTTATTCAGAAAAACAACATGCCTTTTCAAAAAATTCAATGACATTATAGAGGTTAACCAGCTATGTGTTAACTAATATCCATAATGTGGTTATTTTAGGTCCAAAAAACACATTTAAAATGTACAATTCTGCAAAATATTTTAGTAACTTAGTGGTTTATACAGTTTCAGTAGTATTCAGAAGTATTTTAAATAAAATGATAGGCCTTGTTTTCATTATACATAGCTGATTAACCCTGAGCAAGCTTTCAAATTTTAAATTTTTTTATATTTTCAGAAATTCTATGAAGAAAAAATTAATGAGAACAGAAGATTTGTGCAGACAAGGTTTTAAGATTTTTTGACCACAGGTTTTCACACAATCCCATTAGCATTAGAAAATGGAATTCTTTCAACTGGACAAAAGCCTTGAGTGAATACATTTCAACACTCATCTAAGAAGCAATCCCATTAGTCATGATTTTGCATACATACCAACATTAAAATAATGCCAATTTTTGATCAAACATCTTAATACCTATAAAAAAAACATTCTGACTGTGAGCGGGGTTGCTTCTCCAGAGATCTGACCTGTAAAGTTATCTGATCTGGTCTTCATGAAGACAGAAATGTTCAATACCGTACTGTGAAGCAATCCAGAGACAGCAATACCATCTCCATGAAGAAAAGCATTTGGATTCTCCACTGGAAAAGTTAGACAATGCACCTTTGAAATTAAATCATTAAAGAGCCAGAGTGGCTCATCTAAATTGCAATTAATTTGTTCCTCTCAACATTGCATCACATCCTTGTTCTGGTTCCAAAAGCTGAGATCCTCACAAACAAATATGGATGACATGTGAGCTGTGCATCCGTTGTGGACTTAGGGCCCATTTGCCTCAGGTGGTCTTCACATGTCTGTGTTAAGTTAATCAGACTTATGCATGCAACTAGTCTCTACTGCAAGGGGAATAGTAATATGATAAACAGACTAATGAAGTGCAGTCTCCAGCATATCCTTGTGTGATAAGTATGTTTTTTCCCCTTGTTTAACCTCGTCACTTCTTCCTATCATCAATCACACGTGCGAGCTTTGAGTTTCAGAAAATTAGCCCTCCTCTGTCAAACAATTCACCCCCCACAATTGACTTGTTCATTTGGAGCATGCCCGATGGCTGCTCTGTGTATACAATAGTGCCAGGCTGTGACAGACGTAGGACCTCACTAAGCAAAAACAAGCTCGCTCCGCCATTGTTCACACACCCACAGATTAAAGCCAGGCCGTAGCATTCTGCATCTGAAGCATTTGAAGTCGTTTTCTGCCCCAAACACAAGATCTCAAACGCTTTCCCCAATTTCTAAGCAATGGGATCGTGTTTTCAGTATTGCCATAGATCATATATTTGAGCACACTTGAGCCAGAGCTTTCTTCTTTCTTCTCACTGTAAACATAAACAGAGATGCAAGGGAGCTAGGGCCAAAGTGAGTCAGACATTGAATTTATCAAAGCAATTATGATATTTGTTTAATTTTCAATTGCATGTTGCTTTAGCTCAGTATGCTAAAGGTTAATTTGGGGTCTAGAAGATTTTCAAACATAGGTTCACTTCACTGTCACCACTCTTTGCATTTGACCCATATTTTTGTGTCGACAGGGCAACCTATCAAGAGCAGCTGTGAGCAAAACAGTGCAGCACTCTGGGTCCCATGTTGAATTAGCTTGGTCAGGATTATTTTGCTCGAGGATTAGCCCAATGTGGTGTTTTCAGATTGATGGTGGAATCCAGAGTATGCATAGGAAACCCACCCAGACACAGGAAGAATATGCAAACTACACAAAGAAAAGCCACAGCTATTACTGCTTCATTGAAGTTTAGTGTTAGAAGTAAATGTGAATCTAAACTGCCCATAGTGAATGGATGACATATTGAAATTTCAGAAAATTACATTAACAGTGTGTCCTCAAATCCACACTGTTTGAGGACACAGTGTGGATTTGAGGACACATAGATAATGGCTAATAGTACTTAAAACAGCACATAATATTTTCTCTTGGGTAACTGTCCAATATTTGAACAATTAATCTGGTATAATTCTAGACATCAGAAAACCAGAGCAGGTTTTACAGCACTGGCCTGTGTGGGAGACGTCTGCTCTGAAGTGCAGACACAGTTGTTTCATGCATCCTCAACAATTACACTCTAACTGCTTCATTAGAAGTCTGCACCCCGGGACACACTATTAGAAGTAATTAGCAGAGCAGAGACACACCTCGCCTCAGTAGAGCACACGGGAGTACACTGGGGTTCACACACTCACACACAGACGAGCTGATTTTCCAAATATGTGTTTAAGAGCAGGTTAGAGGTGGAAATGCTGAGTCTAGTGTTTTCTTTGTGCTGAGGACAGTGCTGCAGGAAGTAACACAGTCAACCATTACCAGCAAAAAATCTGGTAAACATTGCACAATTTCTGTATTATAATTTAAAATAAATGAAAGTAAAGGTACACTATGTAACTTTTCTGGTAGAGCACCCACCATCTTCTTATCTCCGTGGATATTTTGTTGCTTTGTCTGGAATGTTCTATAGCACAGTATGGTATTAAACATATCTATCTCCATAGAGACAAGCATATTATATTATAGTATATTAATTAACTTGGACACAGACGTGGACTCATGCAAAACCAAAATTATGAGATTTGACAGGTACATTTCGTTACTTCAACAACTTTTCAAACGTTTAGTGTGTATAGATGTTGTAATAGCCCAAAATGTCAGTCTAGATTTATTTAAACCTTTTGGATATGAAGATTGGATATGAGATTGGAGAAGATTGGATGCAGACAAGATGTTAATACTCAGGCCTGACTTACTTGGATTCACACTAGAATACTTGAAAACCCTGAGTGTGACTTGGACTAGAATTCTGATGACTCAAGTGCACTTTACACAATGTGGTGTATTACATTTCCCTGATAGATTAATAAGAACAGTTTTGCTTATGCTATTTTTATTTTACAATAATAATTTTATCTGTTGTGTTGCATACCACAGGATGTCCCAACAATACAGGCAAAGACAAATCAGATTAGGCTTAAGTCCAATACCTTTTCCTTTAGTTTTCATATCTGTCTTTTTGCTCTGTGTACCTTTAAAACATTAGAAATGACCTCTGCTGATGATTTGAAGAGGGCTTGTATATTTAAAGCATCATTTTATCACTTTTTAAAAGTCTTGTATTGTTGTTTGAATCATTGTGTGATGGAGACAGGAAGAGCATGTAGAGCTGGCTAGACTGCGTGTAGCTTTTTAGAGTTCATAAATCTGTGTTCAGCCCTCAGGAGTCGACAAGGAGCCAGACTAACACATGATACAGCCCCAGTCGAACAGGCAATTTTATATGACAGTATGAGTTCTGTACTTGTGAAATCCCTCAGAGAGTGTTTCATAGACATTCTCTGCCTTAATTCAAAGGACTCTGAGATGTAAATCATGAATGTTGTTTTATGCATGTTTCATGTATGTCTTAAGTATTAAAGTTATATAGTAAGTCATAGAGGACAGCAGTGGGGTGGCAGTAGTGCTTAAGCATTTGTGTGGAATACAAAGGGCTGCTGTTTGTAATGCTTAAAGAAACAACATCTTCCCTTTTAGTTATAGTAGCTCTTTATTTAAAAAAAATGCATGTGGTGTGAAAATTAAGATCAGAATAAGTTTTATTGCTATTATCAAATAACAGAATGATGCAAGATGATGTATGTTTGTGGTTGGTTGTGTTTTACAAGTGCCCTGGTTCAGAAGAGTTTTTCCAAAAGAGTTTCTTACCTGAAAGTACAAATACAAATCTTCTTCAGAGACAAGGTTCATAGATAGACTGCGAAGAGCATGACAACTCAAGTAAATCAACATATTTCCTGTGTCTGACTCCACTGTCTGTTCATCAAAGCTCTTATCTTGAGGTAGTTCTATCAGATTTTTATAGACTTTATTGTTCCCAAGGGGCTGTAACAGTGGTGATCTGACCTGACCTAAACCTTATGTTCGTTGTCCTGGGCCAGAGAGCTGTAAAGTGTTAAGCAATCCATTCACTCAAGGGATTCTGTGAAAATTGTTAGTTTAACGTCAAGTACCCTTGTTCAGGAGGAGGTCATACATCTTACATCATTTTGAGTGCTTTTGCAAAGTTTCATCCAAAGTGTGCAAATTAATTTTTGTGAGGGCTTTTTCAGGACTAAAGATTTCAAATCTCTTTCTGACACAAAAGGTTGACACTAAAACAATACCTCTCTGGCTCCAATGAAGCAACCAAAAAGCAAACAGTTGGGGACTGACTGATGAAAACAATTATTGCAAAATTAATTAATAAAAATGATAATTGTTGTTAAAATGTTTTCACACTAACAAGACCTTGTTTGTCACAGTGGCTACATAACACACTGAAGCCATTGCAAAATGAGTTGGATGTAGATGTGGGTCTTTGTGGACTAAGGTCATTGGCTGGTTGTTGCAGTTGCAGATCTAAACATGATGGTCATGTCCAACTGCAGTTTCAGCTCAGAGATTTGAGTCAGAGTGAGTGACTCTTGGAGCTCTCCTCCGGACATAAACACAGAAGACCTGGACGTGAGGTTACAGAACATTAGAGCAGCTGGAGGACACTCACCCACCCACCAGTGACCACATCAGATACTGCACTAAATCTTACTGTAATTATAAACCCCCTGCACCTGGAGGAGACTGAAGACACAGGCCCAAGAGTCTTTTTCTTCCTTAAAGCTTGAACTACTGATGTTTCTCTGCTTTTAACCACTCTTCGTGTCTTTTCCCACCACTAAAACTTTGTGCTGACTTTATTAAAGCTGCACTATGTAACATTTTGGTTGGGGTTTCTTCACCTGCTTGTTGCTATGGATATGTCATTGCTCTGTTTGGAATGTTCCACAGCATGACATTATACAGCTCTACCTTACATTTATTTAGTTACAGGTGGTTTTACTGCTGAATACCTAGAAAAACAGGCATTCTGACTGTGAGCGGGATTACCTCTCCACAGCTCTGTCCAGTAATTTGGCCTAATTTGGTTTCCATGAAAATAGAAAGGTTTAATATCATCCTGTGAAACATTCCAGAAAAGCATTTGATGGGCCCTCCAACAGAAAGGTTACACAATGCAACTTTAAGCTATTAAATTTCCATGGAAGACAACTAACGATTCATGGGTTTCAGATGTTTTCAAATGATTCCTCGCTTATTTGAACAATGGATGACCGTTTCCATGCCAAAACTTTCAAATAAGAAAATAAACCATAATCCTGAAATCCATGAATACAGAGGACCTACTGTGCAAAAATCTATTGAGATTACAGTGAATAGCTATAAACAAGAAAACTTAAATTTTATTGTATCAGATCTCTAATCTTATTTCTTGAAGATTTAACAGCATTAAATAATCTATGTATTTTATATGAATAATAGAATCATATCACTAATTAAGAAAGTTTTGCACAGTACTCACAGTATTTGTTTCCTTTATACAGTTTCACACTATAATAATGTTAATGTTTTGTTTTTTTTTAAATCCAAACAGGGTCCACTTGGCTTGGATGGCAAACCAGTGAGTAAAATCATTCACAACAAACCATTATTTACATGCTCTGCTCTAACTGTTTATTCTTGTTTTAGGGTCTGCCCGGTCTGAAGGGAAGCCAGGTAGGCAGCTCAACACCTGTTACTTTTATTAAGCAGCTTGTATCAGTTTCATTCATAAAGTCTTTGTGAGTGTGTGTCCAGGTGGCAGCTGATAGTTAGCACCACCGCATTAATCATTTTAACTGTTGCACTGGGAGGGGAGGAGGGCAAGAGAAGAAGAACCCACTACCGGTAGCCATCTTGTTCTTTGGTGTCAGACCACAAGGGACTCATGCCTCAACTCAGGCTCATCCATCAGTTTTCTGTCTGGTAGCGTGAGGACTCAGGATTTTCCACAGTTAAGAAGTGGTTTTCCCTCTAGACAAATATGGGAGCTAAATATATACTACATTAACAAAAAGAAAAACACTTTCACTTAAGGCCTTTAAGTAACAGACCCAGAAACACACCATTGCTAATGGAGTAGGAATGACAGGAACAAATATTTTACCAACTAATAGACAAGATTCAAAGGGAACTCAAGTAAAGCTGTTAACCTTTATCTAGTAGTGTACATAAAGAATATATTTGACATTTATATCAGATCTAATCTTATATCTAATCTTTGCTTTCTCTCTATCTTCACTTTCAGTAATCACTTTTGTGCAAAGCCAATCAAATCCTGAAACATGATGCAAATCTTTTATTTTCTTGTTTATTTATTCGTCAGAGTTGTTGTTCATATTTCTCTTCCTGTCATCATGTTGTCAAGCCTATTAGCTACATGCTTATTTTCCTACATTATTTGCCCTCTTTATCATGTCCTGAACACAATCGGGCTGGACTACAGAGTGAAAGTCTGCCAGACAGACGTGGTGTGAGGGGAAGAGAGGGGAACGCGTTATAAGGAGCAGACTATGGAAGATTTAGAGACGAGAGAGGGGCAACAGCCACACAGCGTTAGACTTTGGGATAGTAAATATGTAAAACAAACTGACAGCTCACAGAATAGAGATGTGTGCAGAGTTGAAACCCTGCTGACTGAGTTATTATGGCTATTTGTATTTTTTATTCACCACAAAATCTTGAAAAAATTACACTGAATTACATTTTTTAAGTTACATTCCTTCAATAAATTTTCAGAATAACTAGACTTAGAAGTTATGGTATCACTTCCATCTCCTGTCCTTGGCAATTCAAATCAAAAAGCTATATATCCATCCATACATCCATTTTCTTCCGCTTATCCAAGGTCGGGTCGTGGGGGCAACAGTCTGAGGAGGGTCTCCCAGACTTCCCTCTTCACACACACTTCCTCCAGCTCTTCCAGGGGGATCCCGAGACGTTCCCAGGCCAGCCGAGAGACATAGTCCCTCCAGCGTGTCCTGGGTCTTCCCCGTGGCCTCCTCCCGGTGGGACATGCCCAGAACAATTCCCGAGGGAGGCGTCCAGGAGGCATCCGAAACAGATGCCCGAGCCACCTCAACTGGCTCCTCTCAACGTGGAGGAGCAGCGGCTCTAATCCGAGCTCCTCCCGTGTGACTGAGCTCCTCACCCTATCTCTAAGGGAGCGCCCAGCCACCCTGCGGAGGAAACTCATTTCGACCGCTTGTATCCACGATCTTGTCCTTTCGGTCATTACCCAGAGCTCATGACCATAGGTGAGGGTAGGAACGTAGATTGACCGGTAAATCGAGAGCTTCGCCTTTCGACTCAGCTCCCTCTTCACCACAACAGTCCGATACAGCGACCGCATCACTGCCGAAGCTGCACCGATCCGCCTGTCAATTTCACGCTCCATCCTCCCTTCACTCGTGAACAAGACCCCGAGATACTTGAACTCCTCCACTTGAGGGAAGGACTCTCCACCCACCCGGAGAGGGCAAGCCACTTTTTTCCGGTCGAGGACCATGGCCTCGGATTTGGAGGAGCTGATCTTCATCCCAACCGCTTCACACTCGGCTGCAAACCGCCCCAGTGCACATTGCAGGTCCTGGTTCGATGAAGCCATCAGGACAACATCATCTGCGAACAGCAGAGATGAGATCCTGTGGTCCCCAAACCGGACCCCCTCCGACCCCTGACTGCGCCTAGAAATTCTGTCCATAAACACAATGAACAGAACCGGTGACAAAGGGCAGCCCTGGTGGAGTCCAACATGCACCGGGAACAGGTCTGACTTACTGCCGGCAATGCGAACACAGCTCCTGCTCCAGTCATACAGGGACCGGACAGCCCTTAGCAAAGGGCCCCGGACCCCATACTCCCAGAGCACCCCCCACAGGACACCACGAGGGACACGGTCGAATGCCTTCTCCAAGTCCACAAAGCACATGTGGACTGGTTGGGCAAACTCCCATGAACCCTCGAGCACCCGATGGAGAGTGTAGAGCTGGTCCAGTGTTCCACGGCCAGGACGAAAACCACACTGCTCCACCTGGATCCGAGGTTCGACTATCGGCCGGATTCTCCTCTCCAGTACCCTGGTATAGACCTTACCGGGGAGGCTAAGTAGTGTGATTCCCCTGTAATTGGAACACAACCTCCGGTCCCCCTTCTTATACAGAGGGACCACCACCCCGGTTTGCCAGTCCAGAGGTACTGTCCCCAACCACCACGCGATGTTGCAGAGGCGTGTCAACCAAGACAGCCCCACAACATCCAGAGACTTAAGGTACTCAGGACGGATCTCATCCACACCCGGAGCCTTGCCACCAAGGAGCTTGCCAACCACCTCAGTGACTTTGGCCAGGGTGAGGGATGAGTCCACCTCTGAGTCTCCAGCCTCTGCTTCCTCCTCGGAAGATTGGGATTGAGGAGATCCTCAAAGTATTCCTTCCACCGCCCGACAACATCCCCAGTTGAGGTCAACAGCTCTCCCCCCGCACTGTAAACAGTGTTGGTGAAGAACTGCTTCCCCCTCCTGAGGCGCCGGACGGTTTGCCAGAATTTCTTTGAGGCCGTCCGATAGTCCTCCTCCATGGCCTCCCCGAACTCCTCCCAGCTCCGAGTTTTTGCCTCTGCGACCGCACGGGCTGCAGCACGCTTGGCCCGCCGGTACCCGTCAGCTGCCTCAGGAGTCCCACGAGCCAACAAGACCCGATAGGACTCCTTCTTCAGCCTGACAGCATCCCTTACTTCCGGTGTCCACCACCGGGTTCGGGGATTGCCGCCACGACAGGCACCACAGACCTTACGCCCACAGCTACGAGCGGCCGCATTGACAATGGAGGCTGAGAACATAGCCCACTCGGACTCCATGTCTCCAGCCTCCCCCGGAATCTGGGAGAAGTCCTCCCGGAGGTGCGAGTTGAAAGTCCCTCTGACAGAGGGCTCTGCCAGACGTTCCCAACAGACCCTCACAATACACTTGGGTCTGCCAGGTCCCTCCGGCTTCCTCCTCTGCCAGCGGATCCAACTCACAACCAGGTGGTAATCGGTTGACAGCTCAGCCCCTCTCTTCACCCAAGTGTCCAAGACACGCGGCCGGAGGTCAGATGACACGACGACAAAGTCGATCATTGTCCTGGTGCCACGTGCACAACATGGTGTTCGTTATGGACAAACCGTGACTAGCACAGAAGTCCAATAACAAAACACCGCTCGGGTTCAGATCGGGGAGGCCGTTCCTCCCGATCACCCCTCTCCAAGTGTCACTGGCGTTACCCACGTGGGCGTTGAAGTCCCCCAGTAGAACCTGGAGTCCCCAGCCGGTGCACTGTCCAGTACCCCTCCCAGGGACTCCAAGAAGGCCGGGTACTCAGCACTGCTGTTCGGCCCGTAGGCTGACACCACAGTGAGAGACCTGTCCCCGACCCGAAGGCGCAGGGACACGACCCTCTCATTCACCGGGGTGAACTCCAACACGTGGCGGCTGAGCTGTGAGGCTATAAGCAAGCCCACACCAGCTCGCCGCCGCTCCCCGTGGGCAACGCCAGAGAAATGGAGGGTCCAACCCCCTTCAAGGAGTTTGGTACCAGAGCCCAAGCTGTGCGTAGAAGTGAGCCCGACTATATCTAGCCGGTATCTCTCAACCTCCCGCACAAGCTCGGGCTCCTTCCCCCCCAGCGAGGTGATGTTCCACGTCGCCACAGCCAGATGCTGTGTGTGCGGACCAGGCCGTTGGGACACCCGTCCCCGACTGCCGCCCAGTCCTCTATGCACCCGACCCCTATGAACCCCTCTGCGGGTGGTGAGCCCACAGGAGGGTGGAAGCTATATATATCTTTGTAAATAATCAAATAGTTTTTTAAAACAGTAGGAATTTGAATCTATTGCCAGTGAAGTATAATTTTAAAAAACAGAAAATATTGATGCTGTTATCGTGGCATTTGCAATAGCCATCTTGTGAGGGTAAGAGCAGCACTATAGAAACTTTATGCAAAAACAGGGCCTGTTATTTGTGGTTTAAACTGATAAATAATGTTGTATATGTATGTGGTGTAATTATACCTGTCTCTTAAGATATTTTACAGTCAGAACATGGCTGGTGAATATTGATTATGATTTTCATCATACCACATTTAGCATAGCTCCCTCCTCATAAACTGTATACTCCCTAGGCCTGTATTGCATCCCTGTCTGACTGAGTGAGTGCTTTAGTCACTGTATAAAAAGTATTACTCGCTCTTATCGTGTGTTCGAACGCTTGAATTATGTTATGTGTCAGTCATTTCACACCTGATTTATGATCACCAACTGTCTTCTGTTATCTGCTTCCTCCAACAGGGACCAGCTGGGCCCAAGGGAGAAAAGGTATGCCACAATATGTTTTCGGAAACCTTTCGATATGTACACCATATAGAGGAATTTATGATTTACACTTTACTTAGTTTAGTGTTTCTTGAACTGAGGTCTACTGTGGTACTACTGGCAGTGCGCAGGCTGCCTCTGGTGGTATACAGAGCCCTCTGCAGTTTGATTATTAGTTTTATTTAGAATCAAATCTATTAATGGTTTATTCTGCCTAATCCATAGTTTATTCTAATTTTAGACATAGTTATTCTTATTTTAGAGTTGGTTTAGCCTTAATTTAGGCCTGATCTGTGTTTAGAGAGAGCCTATTTTTTTTAGGTGGTACTTGGTGTGAAAAGTTTTAGAAGCACCGACTTAGATATATTGTAAAGCCCAATAGTGTATTTGTCTACTTACTCTGCTCCTTTAGTTCTGCTGATTTTAGCTCAAACGTACAATGCCAACAAACACACAATACAAGTGTGTATGTCTTTTGTTTTACACTATAAAGACTGCATCCAACACACCAAGCTGTCAAATTATCTCCACTCACTTTCTCACGTCAGGATTCTAAACAGGTTAAAAGGCCTTCCATAGCATTCAATGATAGCCAGATGTTTGATTTTTTTTTTCATCAGTCCAAGATGTTTGCAACTGGTCCTGGCAGCGTATACCTGGTGCATTTGGTCATCTTCTGCAGCACTCAAGCGGATAAGAGTTCTCGATAAGAGTACACTAAATAGCCTCTGTCAGAAGCAGTAGCTAGTCTGATGAAGTTGGATTGTAAAGGACAGATGATGCCAATGGAAAGATTCTGGTTCCTTTATGCAGTCACTCAGGTAGTTTAAGAGATGACAGCACGTACTATCTGAAGCAAGCTGGTGTCATATCATTGTAATTGTGAAAGATATCAAGTGATTTATGCAGTAGATGTCCACATATGCACTCCAAGCACACATGACCCCAGTGTCTTTTTTCCTTCCTATTCACATTCATTAGTTACGGTATAAGCTGTCAGTATGGCTAAACAGTAGCAGTGCATGCCTACATATGTTCCATACAGTAGTGCTGAAGGCTGACAAATGTATTTTCCTGTTTCTCTTGCAGGGAGACAGAGGAGATGTCGGACCAAGGGTAAGACTTTTAGCTTTTGATGATTAGTGACTCTGATCAATAAGGTAACAACAATACAATACACCCCAGCAATATAACACATCAATCAGGAGTTTCTAATACTGTGTTAAATTGAAACCTTTTTTTTTTTTTATTAAAATGTAAGTGTGTTCTCTTCCTGAAACATTGAAGCTAGCCACGTGCCAAATATATTTCGTTTTTTTATTTAATTTTAATGCAATAGACCAATCACACATAATTAGGTAAATATGTAAATGGATTCATTTTTAACCCAAATATGTCAATGCATCCACTCTGAGAAGCAAATGGCACCATATGGGCTTCAGTTACATGTGATTAGTCAAAGGAATGTTAGAAATGACAACATTTGTGTAAAAAATGGATTTATCTATTTGAAATGACAAATACTGAGACACCAAAACTAAACTGAAACCAAAGGCCACACCAGACAGAGCATAATAAATTAATACTGTAACAAAGACCAGTTGTCATCCAACATTTGAAAAATTACTTCCTTGTTATCACATCAGCGGAAAACTCCTATACACAACCACACTGTAAATATGCACTGATTACAGGTTTACAGCCTCTGTCCATGTAACTCTCAACACTTTTAATAGTTCAAACTCAAGTATGTTTATCCCAGCAACAGGACCCAGCCTCTCTCATGAGGTTTTCCCTCTGCCCGCAGCCTTCAAAGCCAAACTGAGAGAACATTATATCAGAAATGACCTAAAGACTCATCACAAATAGTGGGTTTAAGGCAGTGAGCCAAGACTGCCATTTCTGCCTAAACCAAAAAAGCGTTTTCAGCAGCCTTACGTTTGGATCAGTTTTGTGGTCTTTTCATGTAGTAATAATCCTCCCAATAGGAGATCACAGCAATTATCTTTTTTCAGTGTGGTTTGAAATGAGTCTCCTGGTAGTGGTTTGGACGTTGTGCAATATCAACCAAATTTTCTAACTACATGTTACTTTGTAAATGAAACCACTGTAGCCTATATTAACTTGATGATAATATGCAAGGATAACAGCTTTTAACTTCAATTAGAATATAGACAGTTCTGCTAGAGCGTGTGTACTTTATATTCTATAAAATCAGAGGTTATTTTGGGATGTAAACAAATAACCAAAATATACGTGTTGAGGTGGTCGTAAAAAATGCTAAATATATACGATTCTGTTGCAACTTCAGCAAAAGTGGGAAAAGAAGTAGCATGTAGTACACCAGTCACATCAGAGATAGTATTCTAGTATTCTTTAACTAGACGTGTCAGCAAAACCAGAAACATAAAATGAGGAACATTTTCCCAAGAACTAATAGCTTGATTTATTCTGCTCAGTTTGTAAAGCCATCCACTTCTACTGCTCTGGCACAAAGCAGCTTCAGAAAAACAGGATCCTTTTGTCATCTAAACCATAAATCCAAAGTTGGACCTTGGTGAATTGTTACCACAAAGTTAAGTATTGGCGAGCTACCTAATGGTTAACCTAATGGTTAATGGCTGAGGATTGACGCACAGCACACTGACAGATCAAGTCAGATTTATGATGTGGTTTGAAAACATGACAGAACTTCTATTAAATATAAAACCTTTAATGTGTCTTAGAAGTCTTTTATATTTTTAGGTTAATGTTTGTGTAGGACTTAAATCATTTTGGCCGAGTGTGTTACAGTCTCTGTCCAAATGCTAAATATTGTCCTTGGACTGGGGTCAGGGGCTTTGCTGTCTTTGGCTACTTTTTCTTGCTGAGAAATTTAGAGTATTTCTTGAAACACACAGCATAAAAAGAGCTTGAAACCAAAATACATAGATAGGTTTGTTCTTAAATAAGCAAATAGTTATCAGTGATTTCAACACTGTTACATTGATATACTAAATATCTTTTTATATAATATTCATAGAGAGTGCGTTGACTCAACCTCATGTCAGTGATTAGACCTGGATCCTCTCACAGAGGACAACAGGAAGTGGCTATGCATCTCTGTCTGCATTTTACTTCCTGTCCATCCATCTTCTTTGCTGCTTTTGGCGCTTCACTGGGGCACAGGATAACAAAGGCATTAAAATGTAATCAGATTCTGTGGAGGTTACAAAGTCAGATGGCATCCACCTCCTTGTCATAAGCTATTCAAAATTTAGCTAAATTATATTTAAAGAAAAATTATCTAAAAAAAACTAACCTTGACTTCAATCTACCCCTAAAAACATTCCCTGGTATTATTACAAACTGCAAATACCTTTGGCTACCACCTCAGTTGGAGGATTGTACCTTTGGTGCATGTTTTGGGTTGATGAGGGAAAGTGCCTGGAGGGAACCCTCCAGACACAGGGAGAACATGCAAACTCCACACAGAAAGGCCCGAGCAACCTGGGAATCGAACCCGGAACCTTCTTGCTACTCAGCCACAGTTTTGAGCTGATATCTGTTCATCCATATCAATGAAAATATACAGTAAAGATGTTCAAATTCTTTGCTTTGTGAAAAGATGCGTAATGACTGAAGTTTCTGAGCCAAACCCTGTCTCCCCCCTCAGTGTAGACCACACTTAGATCGGGCGCTGCATTCTCCTCAAAATATGTCTGGACCAGTGGAAGACCCTCCAGTGAGGTGTGGATGAGATGTGGAAGGAGCATCTGTGACAGAGGAAATGGTGGTGTGAATGAGTGAATGTGACAGAGGGAAGAGTAAAAAGGAGGGAACAGTGGTCAGAAGAAGAGCCACAAAGATCCAGAGCTCACCACAACTTGTTAACAACAATCTCATGAGCATTTCCAACCTCTGTTTTAGGTTTAAGTTATGTTTTTTATGCTTCTAATCCAATCTTCCATCTCTCACCGGAGGTTATAATAATAGCTTTATGATGGTGACAAAGGCATCGCAAATGTTTACAGGTTTACACTATGCAAGTTATCAATAAATTAAAACTGCTTTTTAAATTCTGAGTTCACCTGATTTAAAGGTACACTATGTAACTTGTCTGGTATGGTGTTCCCTGCTTGCTGTTGGTTTGCCTAGAATGTTGTACAGTATGGCACAAATCCAATTTATTTTACATTTATTAAATCACTGGTATTTTATTGCTTAAAAAAATGTGAACCAGAAACAACAGATACGTTTAATAGAACTGTGCAATATTCAGTATCTCCATGGAAACAAGCAGACCCTCCACCAGAAAACTTTCTTAGTGCAACTTTATTTATATGTCCATGCTTCACTTTCTGTAGGTGTTATGGTTTATATTTATATCACTGTGTTATTGTCTTTGTATTCACAGGGTCCTCCAAACTACAGCACTTTTGCCAATCTGCACAGTAACCAGATTTTGACCGTGAAGGTTTGTCCCACAGATACTGGAGTCCTCTCAGCAGCCAGCACTGTCCTGCTGCTTCTTGTACCTCAACTCAGTTTTCTCTTTCACTTTCATTAGGATCATGAGTCTTTCCTTATCGTTTTGGGATGCCTGTCGTATTCACTGTAGTTAACATTTCCAAACTTTCACTCACATCTTTACCTTTTTTTGTCCTGTCTTCTTTCTCTTCTCTTTGTAAACTGTACTTCAGATGGTCTTCCCTCGGTATGACCACGGCTTTATCGCTGGAGAACAGACCAGCAGCTTTCAGAGACGATTTCTAAAGGTAGACCTATATAGGCTAAGGCATGTGTGAACTTTTATTATCTAACCCCCACTGGAGAAGCAAGTGTATTTAGTGTTCACATAATTATAATTTATTTAGCAGTGTTTAGGATATACAAAGATATTTTAACTTCGTATTATTCATTCTGTCCACACCTGTTGATGATAAGCTCTGTGCCTGTCCCTAACTAGATGTTTCGATTTTATGCCGTGGGTTAAAACTACCCACAAATGGACATTTCTTCTCTCATGGAAGTTTCATCAAATTCAGCACCACAAACTAACTTTGCAAAGGAAAACAGACACAAAATGATCTAAAATATAAGTCACTTCTCATTGAAAGTATCTCTTCTTTAATTTAATCTTTCTCCAATAACATCACATCTTTCAGCGTGTGCTTGTGTGCTTAAACCAAAGATAAGATGATGTTTGTAAGATGGACATTTCAGAGGCACTCCCCATCTGGGTCCAATGTATGCAGGCTTTGTGGGTGACAGATTAGCTTTAGCCTGGGCTTAATAGAAACATAACAATTATCAGTGGAAGGACAGCATGTCATGGGTGACTCTTTCAAGACGGTAATATCATGTTCACGAAAAGGCCACTGGTGCCATGTTGAGAACCACAACAAAGAAAACCGCAGTGTGTGCCACATGTGGAGGGAGATGGGCCAGAGGAGGGGACTTTCTGCACTCATCTTCTCTACACGGATGCTACATAACATTAGAGGCAAAATTTGTAAAATGATTTAGAAATACCACATTGTATATATGAGTCAATTAAATCAATAAGAAGTCAGTGCCCAGTTTTCTTTTTTGCATCAGTCTGGATAAATAAAAAGGGGAGATTCACCCAGGAAGTACATCTAGACTAAAATCTAATAATAAAAATGCACTTTGTAGCAAGTACTTAAGAGCTCAAATGTTTTTTCTTTCTCTTTTTCACTCAGGGTGACCAGGGTCAGGCTGGACCTCCTGGCCCCCCTGGTCTCCCCGGACCCCCTGGCCCCCGTGGACCTCCAGGGAACACTGGCAAAGATGGACCTCGTGGCCCCGCTGGAGAACAAGTAAGTTACACTGGTTTAAGCCCTCAAAAATACATAGTGCCAGTCCGTTTCACTTTGCTGTCAAAAAGGCAGAAGACACAGTAAATTTAATGTTAAAGGTGCACCATGTCACTTTTTGGTTGGAGGTTTGTCACCTGCTTGCTCCTTTGGATATGTCACTGTTCTGCCTGGAATGTTCCATAGGATGACATTAAACATTTCTACTTACAATTATTCAATTACATGTGGTTTTATAGCTCAAAAGTATCTAGAAAAACAGGCATTCTGACTGTGCGGGGTTGTCTCTCCAAAGATCTGACCTGTAACTTGGTTTGGTCTGGTCTCCATGATGATAGAAAGTAGTCTAATGCTATGCTGTGAAACATTCCTGACAAAGCAATAACATCCCCACAGAGAAACACATTTGACAGAGCCTCCACCAGAAAAGTTACACAATGCACCTTTATGTTTCATACTAATGTTTCAGATGAATAACTTAAAATGTGTGTACAATCCCTCAGTCATCCAGGTAGAATCCATGGCAAAAGGAGAAATTCAGTTTGTCAAGGGGACAAAATTTTATTTAGGTTGAATATGTTTTAATTGGCCTAGCTAACTAACAAAAACTGTAAACATGTAGGTGTCTTAGTTTTCAGTTAGAGTAGTTTCATTGTAGTTAGCTCTTCCCTTCAGGCAGATATAAGGAAGTATCCACCAGCATTTTGACCAAAACTGAAGAAGAAGCTTGGATGAGTTGTGAAACGTATTAAATAAAACTACACCAACCTAAATAAACTTTTGTCCAGCTGACAAATTGAATTTCTCCTTTTGTCGTGAATATCTTAAAAGTCAATGTACAGTTCCAGCTACATTTCCAACACTTGTCATGCCGGATCAAAATTAGTAGATTTTTTGTTAGTGACAGTTTGCTCATGACCATACTGTTAAATATGTTCATGCCATAAATTCAAGACATGATCTGGAAATGTTCTCGCTTTGTTCACACCTCAGCTGCTTCTGCAATATCCATGACATATTTTAGCTCATGATCTGGCACGCTGCCTGATCAAATATTCTGGGAAATCACTTCTGACTTTTAAAACATGACTCTGTGCTGGTAAAATCCATTGCGAATAAGAACAACACTTAAAACAGGCCAATATATTCAACAGATGAACAAGTAATCAACCCTTGATTATGGTACAAGGTTGTAGTATTATAGTTGACTTTTGCCTCTTAGTGCTCTTAATTGCATTGGACTCATTGTTCCTCATTTGGGAGTAAGTTGTGGTCTACCTAAACTTTGAGAATAGCATCACTGTCCTCCTGACTCTGCATCTGTTTTGTGTAAGAAAGTGGCCACAGCTCTATTTTGCTCTCTTTCTATCAATATCCCCCCCTCTCTCTCTCTGCCTCCTGCCATGTCTATGTCTCTGAGTCTCGAGAAACAGATAGTTCAAACAATAGACGAGCCAAGCCTCAGGCACTTTTACTATCAGAGATTAATTCCCACTGTTTAATTCATATCCTGTGGTAGCTCATGTTCGTGTGGTGTGTGGAGTTCAAGGCAACCAGTGAGAATAGAGACATCCACAATTTTGAATAAAGTTCTATATTTCTTACAATTTGGAGTGAAATATTAAATCATACAAACATTTTAGTAATTTGACTTCAAAATCCACTGTAACACTAAGCATATATCAGAGATGACAGATGTGGCTATGGCTGTAGGTGGTAGAACTAATAAGTTCTGGACATATTTTGATATTCCCTCAACTTCTGTAAACCATATAAACAAACACTGTATGCGTGTTAGCGACAATACACAGCATGGCTGAACAGATCATTTCAAAGCAAGTTTACAATGCAGACCAGAAAAGGTCTAAATAGACAAATTGATAAAAAAAAAAAAAAAAAGGCCAGTCCCACAACAATTACAAAAGAACTCTGAATTGATTAAAGACATTTGAAAAACAGAACAGCAAAACAAAACAAAAGTGAGAGCAGCTCAGAGCCAAAAGGCATGTTGTGGGCAGATGTGTTTGTCTAGGGCGCTCTGAGCAGGAGAGAGTGAAGTACAATATGTAAATAATACAATGACCATATTTATCTATCAACTATGTCGTTATCATTAGCATTAAATGTACACTGCAGCCCATTATTGTAAACTATCCATGCACACAAATATGGAGTGTTTCACACCATTTAATCAGTATAGCCAGAAAGAGTACTTAAGTAAAAGTACCATTAATAAGAGAGTAAGAAAATAAGTAAAAGTTAAAAGTATTTGGGGATGCTACTGTTTAAGTAAGTAATTGTTAGATTAACATCACGATATTTATTTTATAATTTGAAGTTAGTTTAATTGTAAGGACAAACCATTTCATGATACACAAAATCCAGTATTTTAAAGGATAGGCCACAAAAATTGTAAATCTACATCATATCAGAAGACGTATAACAAATATAAATGCTAACATCAAATCATCATTAAGTGTTTGTTGTTTTTAGACTACTCATAACAGAAAGAGTAACCAAACCTTGTAGTCTAGTAAGAGCACTGTTACACTATCAAATAAATTACTCGAGTAGGAGTAAAGTGTGGTGTTGGAAAACTACTTGGAAAGGCAACCTACAATTTTATTAAAGGCCTACTCAATAAATGTACTTGAGTAAATGTAACTGAGTACTTCCCACCTCTCTGCTAAGGCTACAGTTAAAGCAGTACTAAAACAGTAAAATAAGACAAGCCCAAGAAAAAAACAATACTAGAGAAGTAATATCCATTTGATGTTGATTCAGTTGCAATTTAATTGTTCTTGAATGGAACCAGAAAACCATTGCAATGAAAGGAATGAAACCCAGAGAGATTGTCTGATGAAATGTACTCTATTCAAACTGCGAGAGCAGATCAGCAGCTGGGCCACATCTAGGTAGCTTCTAAATCATATAGCAGGGTATGATGAGTGATCAAACAAGATAACTGCCTCCAATTTGTGACTGTGCTTTTATTATTCTGCACTGACTGATGGCATAAACACAACTACTTGATGGTGCTCTGGGCTCCTTACCCATAACCCCGCTGTGCAGAATGACTTCATAGCAGATGTTTGACTGCTTCTACACCTGGTCTCCACAAGCTCCCAGATCCGTCTGTTTACCTAAATAAGCCAAATGTGTAATGGACAGCTGCCAAATGGGGGCGCTGTCTCACTGTTAGTGTTTAAACGTGATTTATTGTGATAAAAATGATGACTAGGACTTAATATTATGTCTACTCTTCAGCATAGACTAACCTGCCAGGGCTATAATGATATGGATAAAATAATGTGTATGTGATCTTTGTAGCATTTTAAGGAAAACAAAAGTTGTTTTACAGGATTTGCTACTATTTTTTCTTGTATGTCAGGTTTAATTTGATGCATTTACAATGCCACAATTATGCCTTTGTATTATGCCTTGCCATATACTGACATCTAGTGGCAGAATTGTGAAACAGGTTGACTTAACTTTTCACCGTCTCTCCTTTCTTCTTAGGGTTTTCCAGGCCGTGATGGCTATGAGGTATATTAATTTAATACCAAATCTTTATGTTAATTATTACCAATACCAATTTTGATTATTTTATTTTCTATATACTAATACATGTATGTATTTTCTGCTACAGGGAGCTCCTGGAATGCCTGGAAAGCCTGTATGTTTCTAATCACCTGTTTTTCTTTATTAATTTTATTTGTTAACTTTCACATATTTGATCATATTTCCTGTTCATCTTTGAATGTTGATTCTTTTTATGTGGAAAGGGAGAGGACGGTGAGCCCGGAGAACCTGGTCCACAGGGTCCTCCAGGACAGAAGGTAAAACTTAGCTTTTCATCAGCTAATATGGCCTATAATGTCTGTATGTACTGATCATATCAATGATGATGTTGCAGGGAGAAGCTGGTATTGGAGAGAAAGGTGAACGAGGCATGGATGGATTGCCAGGAATTAAGGTACTCACGAAAATAAACGAATATATATCCAAAACATATGTGAATTGCTATATATTAATTATAGGGAGACAAGGGGGAAATAGGAGAGCAAGGACCTCAGGGACCAATGGTATGTTCCCATCTGTCTCCTGTGCTTTGCTGCCTGTATAATGAATGTGAATGATGATAACTAACATGCAATATTGTTTGTCCCAGGGTTATCCCGGTGAAAAGGGCACCTCTGGCTCCTCCGACATCATAGACTTTAATGGGAAACTTCTGGATGCCTTTCAGGTGACTGATGTGTGGCTCCTTATCAGAACAGACGTGTTGGTTGCATCTCAAAACCCCAACGGCATTTGCAAAAGAGTATCAAGTTCAAAAGATATAAAATATGTAACATAAGCATACATGGCATCCTGGCATAGGGCGTCTGGAAACCACAAATCTAAGAAATGTCACTTTTTCTTTTTGACAGGCCATCAACACCATCAGTGTCTCGGTAACGGGCAGCATGTGTGTTCAGTGGTCACTAACACTTTGGATGATAGAACCTGTTTCACTGCCAAACACTATCATTAGATTTCTGTGTTAAATGTCCGTCATTCCTAAGCATGTGCAAGTTTGTAATTCTTTAAGGCTACATGAGCAAATCCATTTCTCTGTGTATTCATTTAAGTTGAAAAGCACAACCTCAACAAATCTAGTCCAGCTGTTCTGCTCTGATTGATAAGACACAGCCATGGAACAATGTTTAATCATGCAGAACTACCCAACTTGTCAAATTGGTTTCATCTCAAATATGTGACTTTGGCCATCAATGATATATAATCATTTAGTTTGTCAGATATTTATAGGAATGTGAGTGATTTTATCAGGAAAAATACATTGTTAATCATGCTCTTATAAATGGTTTCAACGTTGATAAATGGCGGTTTTAGAAAAAGAATATCTGATGCAAAAGTCCAAGCCAAATCAATACATCAGAGTTGAAAGTCTAAAGGAAAGAGGAGGCAGTAATACAAGTAGCAATATTAGGAGAAAGGAATACTACCACAGTTGATTCAAGTAATAAAAATCATAATAATTTTTAAATAAGAATAGACTTTTACATTCCAAATAAATATCAAGTACTTTCACATGGGTCAGATATCCTTCCTTCAGTATGACTTCGCATAGTTTATTCCACCTCTGTAAAATTAATTACATAAGAGAACATGAAAGACACAAAACACTTGCGCTTCTCATGCTTCACGTTGTACACCGGGTTGTGTGTGTACCGCGCCACATGCTAACAGCAGATGCTATCTTTGAGTGTGGTGTGTATTTGATTAAAAGTCACTGTGAGCTGGCCTCCTGCATGCACCTCTGTAGAGAGCAGCATGCGATGGTTACAGACAAGACGATGGACCCATGACCTGGAGATCTTATCAAGGGCTACCTGCCATTTCACATCAGCTGGCATAAAATCACTCACAAGTACTCACTGAAATCCTGTTTGTGGTTTACGGAGCGCCCCCTGGTGATGAGAACATGATTTATCTGTATCATTTGTGTGATAAAAGACATGTTGACTTCATTAGACTTGAAATAAAACCTGATGAGACAAAAAAAAGTGAGTTTAAGCAGAGGTGAAGAAGTGTATAAAATCTTAAATAGCATACAAAACATCGTAACTATTATTACTTGGGAAAATGTTATATTGTTACATTTTGAATTACATTTATACTAAGCCTATTGCCTCTGGGGACGTCTTTCATTCTAGATACATTGGTAAACATCTGCTCTTGTAATGGAACATGTTCTTGTGAGAAACTACAAATGCAATCACAAATGTTCACATATAACAAGATATTAGCTGTTTTTGTGAAGAATTGTTTCTGATTCTGATTCATTATAAAGGCTACGTTAAACAACATGAAACATTTATCACATAGAGGCATGAAGAGGGGACACTTATTGTCAGTGTGGAAGTAACGGAATAGACTACACTTACTGAAAATATGTAACTGTACTTTATAGTTTGTACATCTACTTTTCTAAAATCAATGGAATACATTGCAGTACTTGATCACACAGTTTAGGCCTCAAACTGGAGTGAATTAGTGAAGAGAACAGAAAACACTGTTCTTGGCATGAGTGCATGCATGATTTTTCCTTCTCCAATCACTGATAGGAAATGCATAACAAATGATGAAACAAGCATAAAGCTGTTTTTGATCCTACTATTAAAAACTAATTGATGCAAATTGATGTAAAGGTTTTCAGTTAATACATTACAAGCTTTTTAATGGAGGTATTCATTATTAGGTGACTAAATACATTTTCAAAATATTCTTTTGTGTTACATGAACCACATTTTCCAAATATTGCCTAATAACTGAATGACTTCTGCTTCTGTCTGTAGGGTCCACCTGGACCACCAGGACCACCAGGGCCTCCAGGGGAAAAGGTAGGGCTTTATATGCTGCTCTAAGTGCTTTTAAACACTCGTAATCCAACTCATATATTGGACACTACACTTCATCTGAGGTTAATACTGAAGTGTATTCTTCCAGGGGGAGCTTGGGTTACCTGGACCAGCTGGGGTTGATGGAGAAAAGGTATGTTTTTGCTATTTATTTAGGAAATTTTTTCATCTATGCTTACTCTGATGGGAGTAATGGGATGTTTGTGTTTGATTTCAGGGACCTAAAGGTGACTCTGGCAATGTAGGGGCCCCTGGACCAAGAGGAGAGAAGGGAGAGATGGGTTTATCTGGCCCTACTGTGAGTAACTACTGCATCAGTGGTAAAATCTGAAAGTACAAAAGACTTATGCTGAACTTTGGTACAGGGCATGGATGGACAGAAAGGAGAGAAGGGAGACTGTAAACTGGATGACAATCTGGTCAGTGGAA